CTCAGTTCCGACCATCAACCGGTGGTGGCTGAACTGGGCTGCAACGTGGCTCCTGCTTCAAGCCTGCGCAAGGACTACCATCGCGTAAACTGGGCCCAGTTTGGACGCGTGGTAGACAGGCACATCATCGACAACCCGTCGCTTGACACCGTGGAGGACATCGACCGAGCGTTGGAGGGACTCCACCAAGCCATAACCGTGGCTGACGAGGCGTGCGTCCGACGAGTTCCTGTGAGGGGTAAGTTTATTGCCATTGATTCCCACACCCAATTACTGATTCGCTTGAGAAATGTGCGTAGACGCCAGTTTCAGAGGACTGGAGATCTAGCGAGGAAACGTGAAATGGCCGATCTGAACAGGCAGATTGCTTCCAGAATGGACTCACTTCGAAATGAAAGTTTCGGGCGTGTTGTCCAGAATCTGGATGACCGCTCCCGTCCATTCTAGAAGGTAGCCAAGGTGCTGAAATCTCATCCCAAACCAGTTCCACCTCTCAGAGTCGAAAATGATGACGATCGGCTTTTAATCACCCCACAGGAGAAAGCAAATGCGATCGGCGAGCATGTCGCTTCATCGCATTTGCTTGGCTCGACTATCCAAAGTCCGCTCGAAGATCAGGTTGCGCAATGCGTTCAAAACCTAGATGCCTCCCCTTGTGTCGTGCCTCCGGTGGATATGATTACAGTACAACAAATTTGCTCAGCGCTGAAATGCACCAAGAACATGAAGGCCCCCGGGTTTGACGGCATATTCAACTTGATCTTGAAGAGACTCAGCATGAAAGTGCAGTCTCTTCTAACCGCTATCTTCAACAGATGTTTGGAACTGCACTACTTTCCAAACATCTGGAAAGTAGCAAAAATCATACCAATCCGCAAACCCGGTAAGGATCCAACATTGTCTTCAAGCTACAGACCAATCAGCCTCCTTTCAGCGCTGAGCAAATTGTTCGAGAAACTCATTCTCAATCGTTTGCTCAAGTTTGTGGAGGAAAGCAACATTCTCCTTCCGGAACAGTTTGGATTCAGAAAGGGGCACTCTACCAATCATCAGCTAGTACGGGTGATGAATAACATCCGAAGTAACAAAGCTGTATCCAAGTCCACAGCCATGGCCTTGTTAGACGTTGAAAAGGCGTTTGACAATGTTTGGCATGACGGACTTGTGTACAAGCTTTGTAACTTCAACTTCCCATTACATCTGGCTAAAATCACCCGAAACTACCTTCAGCAAAGGTCGTTTAAGGTATCGTTGAATGGTTGTCTTTCAGACACGTTTTCCATCCCAGCAGGAGTCCCGCAAGGCAGTCTGCTAGGCCCCTTGCTTTACAGCATTTACACTTCCGACATTCCTCCCCTCGGTGACGGTTGCGTGTTTTTCCTGTTCGCAGATGATACCGCAATAGCCGTCAAAGGAAGGATGCCTCGCGAAATAACGAACAAACTTCAACGATGCCTTAACGCCTTTGCTGATTATGCCACCATGTGGAAAATCAAAATCAATGCCTCCAAAACACAAGCGATCATGTTCCTCCATCGGCAATCGCCCAAACTGAAACCGGCTCCATCTTGTACTGTAATCATGGATGGCACAAGGGTTGAGGTGTCCGCCGAAGTAACCTATCTCGGGATGTTGTTCGATGAAAAGCTCCTCTTCCGTACGCATGTAGAGAAAACTGTAGCCAAGTGTTCCGCCTTGGTTAGGTGTCTGTATCCGCTGATTTGCAGCAGATCCCACCTCTCAAGGGTGAACAAACTGGCCGTCTACAAACAAATCATAGCACCTGCGATCCTCTACGCAGCTCCGGTGTGGGAATCATGTGCACAGACTCACAGGAACAAAATTCAGGTCGCACAAAATAGAGTGCTGAGGATGGTTCTTGATCGTCCTTTCGACACTAGAATAACAAATTTACACGAAGAGGCAGGAATTGCCAAAATAGATTCAAGAATTAACGAAATTAAGACTAAATTTGCAGAAAAATGTAATTTATCAGAACATGCTTTGATAAGCAATTTGTATATAGTAGGTTAGGTGCATATAGTAGTTGTAGGTTAGTTGTAGTTGTAAATAGTAGTTATAAGTAGTCTCCATTTTCCAATTCAAATCAAACCAATCCCACCAAGGTGGTCATACTTTAAAATAGGCCTGATAGGACTAGTAACTGTAAATAATAATTAAAATCTCAAATGAACTAAAGTTGAAAAGACGCATCTGTGTCACTTGAAAAAATTCATTAATGTAAACCACACAAACACAAGAAATAAAGATCATTTTAAGTCAAGTTTGGCTAATTCTTTGGTGCAAGCAATGGAAATATTTACCTTATTTGACAAGGTAATCATGACATTTGATTATTGAAAACAATTTGAATGAAGAAACGAGACCTACTGCTGTCATGATTACCTGAGATTTGTCGAATAATGTAAATATTTACACCGATTGCATCGAAGAATTCGTGGTGGAGGAAGTTTTCTCTACACAGCTAAAAAAAAGTAGTGTAAATTTCCGTTACTATGATGCACATAAATGGAGCGTCATAAATCATACAAATTTACATTATAAATCGTGTAAATTTATGAGACATGTCATGCAATATTCCATATATTGTATGCAAATTTTCAACTTTGTTTGCAACATTGCTTGCAAGCTGCTAGTTTACGTGAAAAGGAAGTTTACATGCATGAATGTTTGCATGCATGGATGTTTACATCACCAGTAAAATTCAGATTTTTTTAGTGTGTACCATCGAAGATTTTTTGTATCCATAATTGGAATTGCTGATTATGGCTATTCAGTATTGAAATTTAGATAATCAAATCATAAATCTTAAAGCTCTTGCATGTCACACTATTCTTAAATGTTTGTCTTCTGAGAGCCGTATGTTTTATAGCCAATTTTTAAACGAAAATCATCCTGTATTTGGATGTTCATCATCTGACGATGAATTCAACCATAAGAAAATCATCCGAAATTCGAATGCATATTGTTAAAGGGCTCGAGCAATGCAATAATCATTCGAAGTATTGCGGATGTTTTGGATCAGTGTAGGCTTCATGCCACTAGCGTGCACAGGAATCTTGTTAAGGAGGGGCAATTTTTTTCTATGCTGCATTTAATCAGGGGATGGGGAGTACTCCAAAGTACGTGGTAGATGGTGCTGTCCTCCTCCTACTTTTTCCCTACTGTTCAATTTAGCTAATTTTATTTATTTTTTGCTATAGTGGTGGTTCATATTCTTTACATTACATTGTGCAACGACGTAATCATGTCATTTTGAATACGGCTACTTGTATACTGGTAATTTTTTGCACCATCCGTCAAGTGTTTTTCCAGCACAGGATCGTAGTTAGCCACCAACTGGGTGGAAGACTTTCCGCTCCTTCCGAATGTCCACGAAGTGGTCGGCTACCTTTGCAAAGTATGCGCACAATATCGATGAAATGTTCCATTATATAGCGATTTTGTAGCCGCTTTGCCTTACTAGTAGCAATCATAGCTGTTTCTTCGTGGTCCAGTTCTTCGTCGATAGCCTTTCTGGCTTTGAAATTCTTCCACGCTTACATACTACCGACATCGGTATCACTGCGATTGTGTTTGCCCAGCAACTCGGTCGATTGTTTTAAACTACTCGACAATTCTATTATTTGAAACTGCCAAAAATAAAACTGCAACACGATCAGCGCAACGCACAGTTCTAAAAGATGTTTGTTATCATCATGTTCCATAAACTTTACTGTTCTCTATGAAGTGCTCCGTTTTTTGTTTGTGAAGCTCTTCGAAACATCTTTAAACACATCCAAAGAAATTTGGAACAGAGTTCCATTCGTGTTTCAAACTCGCTCAGAAATAAAACAGAATAGTCGAGCAGTTGCAAATCTGGTGCAAAATAGTGCTTGAATAATGAAACTGCAACTCAGCATTGCGAGAGGTGCGTTTCTGTTCTAGTTTCAAATTGAAACAGTCCTTTTGTTGGACCTCCTTGTCTTCTACTAAGAGAAAGAGGAGACAACTGGCTTTTTACTCTTTTATCTATATCTCTATCTCTATCTATCTATATCTCTATCTCTATCTTGCGCACTTCAAATCGGCCAATCACGAGCTGGTTCGCGTTTGACAGAAAAGTGGTTCGTTTTCGCCCCCGTATTGTCTTCCCTTCCTCTTAGGTCTTCTATGCAACTTATTTCAGTAACTATCAAGTACAGCAGAGCACATCCACGGTTTACATATACCAGGCTAGCTACCGCGCTTCTGTCATTTTGTGTGTGACGGCATCAGAATCAGTGAAATAAACAAACAAGCTTTCACATTACATGCAATGGAAAATGCAACAACAATGAAATCGCCGGTTTAAAAAGCAATCGGATTGTTGCCTATTGTCCTCGAATGTGGCGTCCGTGTTGATGATTTTCTGACTTTCCACCCCTTTTCCCACCACGTAGAATCTCATGGGGTACCGTAAGAAAATCCCTCGGAAGGGACCGGCTATGATGCTCAAGCTCGTATTGGATGTTCGATGTCAGGGAAAGGGAGCTGCTGCCGGGACAGGAAGCTATCAGGATCTTCTACAACATCAAATACAATTTCTTAGAGCTGCTGGAGTTCCGGATTTGCCACCATGTGCCAAAACCCGGATGAATTCAAATCCCGTCTGGTAATGTTCCCTTCTGCACTATTTACTTTAACGATTCTGATGACGTCATTTCGACCCACTTCGGTTGATGTTTACTCTCTATAATGAGCTATCCTGGTATATGTAAGCCGTGATCGCTTCATGGCTATTATATTCATATCTTGCATTCTATTCGATAGCTATGAACTCAACGCCGTCACCCATCCCATGTTTCGTATCAGCCCTATCGCCGGTGTTCGTCATAAACCGCCGCTAAAAAAAAGCACCCTCCTTATCAGACCCCTCGGAAAGCTTCCGCATTATCCCACAATCGCATTTTTAGTTATTTCGATAGCTGCCAAATCACGAAAAAAAAATCACCACTCACCTTAATATTTGCGTGCTGCATCTGCAGGAACGTAGCAATCCCGTTGCGGACCCGGTTCTTCACACCCCGGACCGTTCCCTTGTTGCTCCGGATGGTCGACGTTCCGCTGGTCAAATCCTTGAAGCCGGCAAAACTCTCGTCATCGTCGATCACCGACGAGGAGCAACTGTTGAGATTCATCAACCCATTGCTTCCCTGGTGATCCTGCTGCTGCTGCTGCGTGGGCTGCGACTGCAAATTTGAATGTTCATTGATGTGAAACTTGTAAAACTTGTCATTTTCGAAACTGAATGATTTGTTCTTCTCCGAGAGCGAGCAAACACTGTCCCCATTGGTGACAACACTGTTGAGGCTATTGATTTTCTCCATCAGGATTGAGCGGGTCGTTGTCAAGACAACGGTTTCGTCACGTGGTGGCGACGGGGGTGGGGAATAGGACGGAACTTCACGCGCGGCGCAACCGGAGGACGAACGTTCGCGGATGTCCTTGAGGAGCGAGTGCGGAAGGATCGAGACTATTTTGTGCTTCTTGGCGGTAATGAGTTCCGGACACTCGGGGATATTTTCACGGTCACTGTCACTGGTTGGGGACACGGCGGCGGCGGACGATGGTTCCGGAGTTTGCGGACTGGTCGGGGCCTCCGAGATGCTGTCGGTTGGCTCCAGGGTTTGGTTCCCGACGACGACGACGTTGCCACACAGTTGCGAGAAGTTGAGCGAGTCGCAGCTCAGACTGGACTCGGATTCGTCACTATCGCTGATGGTGTAGCTGCTGCTGCGATATCCCGGCTGATTAAGCTTATCGGACGGCGTGGGGCTTATCATCATGAGCGTCGCGTGCTGTGCGGCCGGGTGCTTGCAAGGGGATGGGGATTTTGGGGACATTTTTTTCGGGAGCGGAGGAGGAGTGACTTCGATATCGCTGCATGTGCCACTGTCCAGGGTGTCACTCGGGGAGCACTGACCCGAGGACATCATGTAGTACAGGTAGGTGGCATTGTTGACATCCACCAGGTCGGCTTTGCCGTTGGTGGGCGTCGCCGAAGGGCTGGACTGCTTCTGAACCATTTCCACCGACGGGGTAGGACTCGGCGATTTACTGCCCTGTTCCGGAGGTCCGAATGAAACGATTGACACTTTCGATTTGCACTGATTACCGTTCACAATGGTTGCACTGCTGTTCGTAACACTGATCACGGCTGGAGTCCCGTTCTGAACCACGCTGCGACTAGAACTGTCGTCCTCTTTCTGAACGATTTGAATCCGAACAACGTGCGACTCCTGATCGGTTACCACGGGCGACGGCGGCGGCGACGACGACGGCGATGGTTTCTCCTGGACGGTTTCCAGTAGACTACTGCTGCTGCTACCAAGGGCAACGGCACCAACTCCAACGGCAGCAGATGATCTGTTGTGTGGATCGTCACTCCGGCTCGTTTCGGCTCTTTCTTCTTTCTCCGACTCTGCTGGTTGTAAGACAACTTTTTCCGAGCCTTCCTCGACGGCGGTACCGGGGGTGGAGACGTCGGGGACGGAGACGGAGAGCAACAACTCCACGGCAGAGGGGAGACTGTTACTGTTAGCACCGTCCACCTCGTCCTCTCGCGATTGCTGCCTCTGCAAGGCAGCGAGGCTCGAATCGAGGCTGGTATAAACCGTTGTTTCGGCGCTTATCTGTATGGACGTTAGCTTGTGCTGCTGCTGCTGTTGCAGCAGTGGTTGTAGCGAGGCCGTTGAATCCATTTTTCTGCAATTTCCTCTCTCTCTCAATCCTTCTCTCAAAAAAACAAAACGAGATGTTTCACAACATACACCGAGCCCCCTTTCTCTCCGCAGCGGGGTCTTTTTTCTTGGAATGGAAAATCTCGAACTCTCTCTGGCTCGCTCGCTCGCCAAACGCGAAACTAGGCCTACAACGGGTTTATTTAAGTATTTACACTTCCAGCGTGCAACCAAGTTTCAGTTTTTCCAGTGCAACAAAGTTTTGTAGCGTCGCAAGCAATCAACTGATGATCACCTGGCTGAAGCAGTATTATTGTTTACGTTTTTTTTTCTTTTTCTGTTGCAGCGCTGTTTGTAGTAGACGAAGCAAATTTATGCTGATTTGATTTTCTTATTTCCTCCTATGCTGTTGGCTGTTTTGTTATTCCGAGTCCGATTTGGCGGTGGCGGCGTTGAAATCCGTTTCTTTCATCACACACAACCACACCACACTGTTGTTTTCTTTTTCTTCTTATTTTTTGTATCGTTTGCTTTTCGTTACTTTTCCTTATTCAAATGTGTAAAACTTGCTTGCTTGCTGTTGTTGTTGTTGGTGTTGTTGTTTGGCTGCTACAGCTAAGCATTTTAATTCATTTATTCACCTACACGGGCACGATCGACTTGCTTTTCGTTGTTGGCAGTGCGGAAACTCTTGAGAACGATTGAACGACCTCCAGACAATGATCGTTGATGCCCGTCCGAACTGGGGGACTCACTTAGGTTTTTCGTTAACGGTTTTCACTTTCAATCTTTGTAATTAATCTTCTTATGTTTTGGAGTTGCGTTTTTCACCTATGCGCACTTGAACAGGTCGATATTTTTTGGGTTTCGTTTTGCTTCACTGCTTTGTTGTTGCTGTTGTTACAGTAGTTCGTCTGGATTGCTGATGCACTTAATCTGGTTGTTGAGGGAAACGGGGGACGTTGGTTTAGAATGCAAGGTGTTTGACTCGGATGGGATTTTAGGTATCAAACTCAAGTTCACTTAGGATGAATCTTCACCGAATCGTTTTTAGGTTGAAGGTTATTATATAGTAGCTCAAACGCCACTAAAGCGCCACCCATATTATATCCGATTGCGCTGCGTTGACGTAAATTTTACAGTTAGACAATAGATTTAGCTGTCACTTTGCCGCAACGCGTCAATGCCGGATCTAATATGAGTGGGCCTTAAGGCAAAACAATTTCTTCACTGCACACGGTGTAAATATTTACGATTTTTTGACAAATCTCAGGTAACCATGACACATCCTGACGCAGTAGGTTTCTTTTTTTTTTCATTCGCGTTGTTTTCAAAGCTCAAAATGTCATTATTACCTGAGATTTGGCAATCATGTAACCTAATAGTCGCTATATTCATAGTCTGGCGGATAGAATTTCGATCTATCAAAAAGTGGAACCAATTCAATATATTTTAGACCAACAATGGAAAAGGTACTATCAACATTTATAAACAAACGTAAATTATTCTTTCCACGCCAATCGAACGCAAACTACCGGCATCACCGGATAAGGGAAACTTTCCACAACCCAAAGATGATATTAGTTTGCGTAGGCGAGCTTTGAGTCACGAGAAAATGGTTTCCGACGTTTTGTTCGCAATAGCTGATGTGCTCTTTTCTGTTGTTAGTCGTGATTTGCTCAATTGGTTCCGCTATTTGACAGCTCAATTGGTTCCCGAGATTCTATCCGCCAGACTATGAATATAGCGACTATAATGTAACCTTGTCAATAGAGTTAAGGCAGCGGTTCTCAAACTTTTGTCATTTGCAACCTTCATTGAGCAATTTGATAAGCTATAAAATGCCGAAAAAATGCTTACAATCTGCATGATTTACTTATACCCCGTTCACATTACAGCCTATATCACGTAATATAGGCTATCTTGCAATGAGCACTCATACATAGGATTTCCAGTGAAAACTAGATGTATGAGTGCTCATTGCAAGACAGCGTATATCACGTGATATACGCTGTAATGTGAACGGGGTATTAAACCCGAAAACAGAATGGTAATACAATAGTTGAAAAACTCCCTCATAGCCCAGAAATACCAAACGGGATTATTTTGATTGCAATTTTGAGTTTGGGCGACTAATTTTCGTATGGTTTTGTAGGTAAGTATTAACAATTATTTATATTAGAATCAGAATAATTTTCAGAATAATATTTGATGTACTGGAAGACATCATATTCGAGAGTCGTCTCAGTTAGAGATCTTCAAACTAGCTAATCGTCATGGGGCCTCCCTTAGCTCAGTTTAGAGATGAACTAGCCTAAGGCTAAAAATCTCTTTAATAAAGAATATAAAAAACCTTAGCTCAGTCGGTAAAGGCGCAGCTACAAAGTAAGATCATGCTGGAGGTGGCTGGGTTCGGTTCCCGGTCCGGTCTAGGAATTTTTCGGGTTGGAAAACTTTTCGACTTCCCTGGGCATAGAGTATGATTGGACTTGCCACACAATTATACTAATGCAACAATGGTACAGACATCGGAAGCGCTCAACTAATAACTATGGAAGTACACCTAGAACACTAAGTTGAGAGCACGCAATAAGCTAATATGCCATAAGCAATAAGCTTGAAATTCTATGAAGAAGAAAAATCGTCATGAAGTCATGCGGTTATTTGAATAATCTCTGATTCAGTTGACATAGTGAAGAAATATATGAGGGATTATCTGATTTAATAGGTGATCAGTAGAAGGTCTTCTGAATAATTAATCACTCTGAATCCGTGTAAAAATATCCAAGGGGCTTTGAAATTCTCCGAAGTTTAGAAGACGATCACCTCTGAATTTGTATTAACTTCAAAACGTTTGGGAACTCTTTGAAGAAGTACTATGAACCGTGGGAAAATATCGAGAGCTTCGGAGAAGAGTTATGAATATCAGGAAATCTGCGGGAGCTTAAGGAAAGTTCCGTTAATTTTAAGGAAGTACAGAGTACTCTAGTTTATTGAGAATTTAAAATTAACTTCTGGGGAGTAAAGATATCTTTAGAGCAGTCCTGACTATCGAGAAAGTTTAAAGATCTTCAAGAGAATATTCAGACAACTTCGTACATTTCAGGAATGAAAACTACATCGAAGATCTAGGGAGGTTTTTAGGAGAACTTCAAAATAGTTCTGACGAGAACTTCAGAGTAGTTCTGAGGAGAAATTCAAATTAGTTCTGACGAGAACTTCAGAGTGGTTCGGAGGAGAATTTTAGAGTAGTTCTGAGGAAAAGTTTAATGTAATTCTGATGAGAGTTTCAGAGTAGATCTGAAGAGAAGTTCAAAGTAATTTGGAGGAGAACTTCGGAGTAATTCTGTGGAGAGCTTTAGAGTAGTTTTGAGGAGATGTTCAGAGTAATTCTGAGTAGAACTTCAGAGTACTTCTAAGGAGAAGTTCAAAGTAGTTCTGAGGAGAACTTCAAAAAAGTTCTGAGGAGAACCTCAATGTTGTTCTGAGGAGAAGTTCAAAGTAATTATGAGGAGAGCTTCAAAGTAGTTCAGAGTACTTTTGAGGAGAACTTCAGAGTAGTTCGAAGGAGAAATTCAGAGTAGCTCTGAGGAGAAGTTTGAAGTAATTCTGAGGAGAGCTTCAGAGTAGATCTGAATAGAAGTTCAAAGTAATTCAGAGTAGATCTGAATAGAAGTTCAAAGTAATTCTGAGGAGAACTTCAGAGTAATTTTGAGGAGAACTTCAGAGTATCTCTGATGAGAGTCTCAGAGTAATTCTGAGGAGAAGTTTAGAGTAATTCTGAGTAGAACTTCAGAATAGTTCTGAGGAGAAACTCAAAGTAGTTCTGAGGAGAACTTCAGAGTAGTTGTGACGAGAACTTCAAAGTACTTCTGAGGAGAGCTTCAGAGTAGATCTGAAGCGGAGTTCAAAGTAATTCTGAGGAGAACTTTAGAGTAATTCTGAGAAGAATTTCAAAGTATTTCTGTTGACAGTTTCTAAGTAAGTCTGAGGAGAACTTCAGAGTAGTTCTGAGGAGAACTTCAGAGTAGTTCTGTGGATTATTTCAGAGTTATTTTGAGGAGAAGTTCAAAGTAATTCTGATGAGAGCTTCAGAGTAGTTCTGAGGAGAAGTTCAGAGTAATTTTGAGTAGAACTTCAGAGTACTTCTGAGGAGAATTTCAAAGTAGTTCTGAGGAGAACTTCAGAGTAGTTCTGAGGAGAACTTCAAAGTAGTTCTGAGGAGAACTTCAGAGTAGTTCTGAGGAGAAGTTCAGAGTAATTTTGAGTAGAACTTCAGAGTAATTCTGAGGAGAATTTCAGAGTATTTCTGTTGAGGGTTTCAGAGTAAATCTGATGAGAGCTTCAGAGTAGTTCTGAGGAGATCTTCAGAGTAGTCCTGAAGATAGTTTCAGAGTAGTTCTGATGAGAACTCCAGAGTAATTCTGGAGGAGAAATTCAAAGTAGTTCTGAGGAGAGCTTCAAAGTAGTTCTGGGGAGAAGTTCATAGTAATTTTGAGTAGAACTTCAGAGTAGTTCTGAGGAGAAGCTCAAAGCAGTACTGATGAGAACTTCAAAGTACATCTGAGAAGAACTTCAGAGTAGTTCTGAGGGGAAGTTTAAAGCAATTCTGAGGAGAGCTTCAGAGTAAATCTGAAGAGAAGTTCAAAGTAATTCTGAGAACTTCAGAGTAACTCTGAGGAGAATTTCAGAGTGATTCTGTTGGGAGTTTAAGAGTAAGTCTGATTAGAGCTTCTTAGTAGTTCTGATGAGAACTACAAAGTAGCTCTGAGGTGAAGTTCAGAGTAGTTCCGAGGAGAAGTTTAAAGTAATTCTGAGGAGAGCTTTAGAGTAGATCTGAAGAGAAGTTCAAAGTAATTATGAGGAGAATTTCAGAGTAATTCTGAGGAGAAGTTCAAAGTAGTTCTGAGGAGAACTTCAGAGTAATTCTGAGGAGAATTTCAGAGTATTTCTGTTGAGGGTTTCAGAGTAAATCTGATGAGAGCTTCAGAGTAGTTCTGAGGAGATCTTCAGAGTAGTCCTTAAGATAGTTTCAGAGTAGTTCTGACGAGAACTCCAGAGTAATTCTGAGGAGAAGTTCAAAGTAGTTCTGAGGAGAAGTTCAGAGTAATTTTGAGTAGAACTTCAGAGTACTTCTGAGGAGAAGTTCAAACTAGTTCTGAGGAGAACTTCAGAGTAGTTCTGAGGAGAACTTCAAAGTAGTTCTGAGGAGAACTTCAGAGTAGTTCTGATGAGAAGTTCAAAGTAATTCTGAAGAGAACTTCAGAGTGATTCTGAGAAGAATTTCAGAGTATTTCTGTTGACAGTTTCAGAGTAAGTATTAGGAGAACTTCAGAGTAGTTCTGAAGAGAACTTCGGAGTAGTTCTGAGGAGAACTTCAGAGTAGTTCTGTGAATTGATTCAGAGAAGTTCTAACGAGAACTTCAGAGTAATTCTGATGAGAAGTTCAAAGTAATTCTGAGGCGAGCTTCAGAGTAGTTCAGAGGAGAGCTTTAGAGTAGTTCTGAAGAGAAGTTCAGAGTAGTTCTGAGGAGAACTTCAGAGTAATTCTGAGGAGAATTCTGAGAATTCAGAGTATTTCTGTTGAGGGTTTCAGAGTAATTCTGAGGAGAAGTTCAAAGTAATTCTGACGAGAGCTTCAGAGTAGTTCCATAGAGGTAACCTAAGACTAGAATTTCCTGAAGAAACGTGCTCAACTTTTTGGCTCAGCTCTGGTACTATCTTCGGTCCCAAGCTTATCGATTCACCCCTCGAAACATAGAAAAATCCAATAACCCCTCATTTTATCTGTCGAACTTTCATTGCGAATCAAAACAAACATTGTGTAGTACTAGAATTTTGACCAGAATGGGATAAGTTAATCGATTTGCTTGGGACCAATAGGCTAGTCAAGTAATGAGCCAATTTAAAATTGTGAGTTTAGTATTGCTTGTTGG